ATAAAAAAAATCTTGTATTTCATATATGTATGAAAAATGATTATAATTTTGAAATTCAATCTGACAATTAAACAAATAATAAAGCAATCAATCAATTAATTAAACCATTAGCTACGGTAATTAATCGATTTTCAATCAGTCGATCAACCAATTAACCAGTTAGACCACTGAATCAAACCAGTTAATACATTTGAAGATAAGAAGATAAAAATAAATTAATCGAACCATCAATTAACAATTCAGCAAATTAATCAATCGATTTAACACATCAATAAACCAATTCGTCTATTGCTCCAGCAACCTCTAAAATACACTTTTTGTTTTCTTTAAATATAAATATCCTTTCAATAGATCAAATCCTCAGGATATTATTAATTCTTTTTATAGTTAATTTCACAGTATTTATTCATCAATATGTTTTATATTTATATTAAGTAATTTGATATCTTCTGACACATGTTTGTTATGATCAATCGAATCGATAATACTAGCGATCGACAGGGTAATCAATGAATGTATAAATATTTCAGATAATAAAACCAATTAGAAAATCAATCGATCAGTGCATCATTTAACTAATCAGCATAATCAAATAATTTAATACATTCCATCACATGCTATTTCAACCGGTTAATTACTCAAATATCAATAAATTGGTTTTTTGGGGGTTTTTTTATGTAAAATGATTCGTGTTTGATATTCTTTGATGCTTGTCCATCAATCAATCAATACATCAATAATGTAAGCAATCTATATAATATAAAGCAACCAATAAAAAAAATCAACCAATTAAACTCTCAAACGAAAAATATATTAACCGAAAATCCTGTCAGCCATCAAAGCAACACATACAATTCTCAAATGAATAGGTTGAATAGGTGTTTTGTTTTTGTTTTTGTTTTTTTTTTTAAATCAACTTAACTCTGAGTAGAACAATAATCAGATCAGATTGTCCAGTCCCATACACCTTTTCTTAAAGACTGACGCACCTTTACATTACTTCCGACCTCGTTGGTACCATGATCATTTTATCTAGAGAAGAATCATAGGCCAGGATCGTCCCGTATACTACACCAGCAGTAGGTCGTTAGTTCATGTTTCGCCTACCGCGCTAATCAAATTTCTCTTTGCTCTTGGGAATACAGACGGGCTGCTCCTCTTTTTGGTGACATTCACTTGTTTTTAAAAATACGTAAACGTACCCTCGACCACTCCCGTAGCTTATGCAGGTATCCTTTGTTTTCAATTTTGTGTCGCAGTTGCGACAGCACGACAGCTTTTCCGTCGGCCTAGGCCTAGTGGTGGACTGTTATATTCTATTCTGTTCTATTATAGTCTTTAAAATACTGAGCCTCCCGTGAACCTAAAGCCACACTTACACTATAGACACGATTACGACACGACAACGACACAATACAGATGCGCGCAGTGTTAAAGAATACAAACTACCGGTACCCGACGATATTTGTCGTGTCGTAATCGTGTCTAGTGTAAATGTGGCTTAAGACGGTTCGCAAAACAACCACTTTCTAGACTGCAGCTTTTCCACACACTCGATATTGTGCGCAGAACAAAAATTTCTCTAGAATACAGTTTTTTTTTTGGCGTTGACAGCCATTGACTAGAAAATCTGGTTGACATATTACATCTCATGATATTCTTATATTATATTATATTAAAATTATATTGTATTATATTATGTTATATTATATTTGTTGTGAATACATATTAATTAGAAAAATTAGCCATTATTTTGGAATATTCAAACTAACTTAACCATTTAAAGAGAATCCTGCGGTCGTGCATTTTTTTAGATAGGCTTATATACTTACCATTCCTTTCTTTTTCTTTTCCTTCAAATTAGGCTGAGTTAGTTACATTAACATTAATATTAATATTTTCTATCAATTTTATTCTACGAATTTTGTCTTTAATTCTCATTTTCCCTTTCTTTCTTTCTTTTCTTTTCTTTCTTGTCTTTCTTTCCTTTCCTTAGTTTTCTTTTCATTTCTCTTCCTGTCTTTCGTAGCCATGTCCCAACTTCCTGACTCCTCTCTACATTCGTGGCACCAAAACGAGAACCGTTTGATTGGTTAACCTTCCGTCATAACATTCACCCTATTGCCAAATACGGCATCCTAAAAATTACGTCATGCTTGTCACGGCCAGCGGTCTGCAGTCGATTTGACTCACTCTTTTACAAGACTCTAATTCGCATCAAAAAAGTTTCTCGACATAAACTGACACTGGTGGGGCTTTCCGAAATGTGCTAAATCTACGAAAAATCAATAAATTAGAGTTGTGGCAAGTCTACCGATCTCCTTGTGTATTTGTCTCAGGTGTAAACAGATAAATATTTAATTGAACAGATTTACTAAAACAAATAAGAAACCTTCGTGGGTTTATTTTAATACAGTCAAATCTAAACAAATTAAATTTCATTCTCTACGAATTTCCTCCGTAATTAGCAACATGTTTTTGAGGATGAGTAGGCTATGCATTTGTAATTTACACTGACGAATCTACGACATCTACATCCGAATTAAACGTCTACTGAAAATTCAGCCGTCGTAG